CGCACACCGTACGCATTGCGTTCAATTCAAGAAAGCAGTTCAAAACAGTTAATCTAATCACCAAACAGGCAAAAGTTCACTTCAAGAATGAACAAAATGCATGGCAAAAAATAAATAGTTGAGAAAATATAAAAAATAAGGCAACTTGATGCAAAAAAGACTTTTGAGTTGTCTCAACAATTGGTTTTTAGTTCTTCTCAGTAAAGATACGTATTGTTGTCACAGCAACATAAAGAACAATTACTGTTGTTGAGGTAATATTTTGTTTCCTGGATGAAAAAAAAAAGAAGATTTTGTGAAAAGTCACCACATTATCACTTTTTATGTGTATTTACGAATGACAAACATGGATTATTTCTTTATCAGTTTATTTCAGCTGTAAGCAAATAAGCAAATTGTAACAATTGTATCAAGAAAGTAGTGAAAAGTTATAGAAACTTTACTGAATTTAGACTAATATGTAGACAAGATTAGGCGCAATCACCCTACAAAACAAAGATATCCAGGATAAAGATATAAGTGGTGGAACATACTCTAGGCCTCAATACTTGACACACAAACCTCAAGAACGGCGGCAATCAACAAATGTAAAAAGAAACTACATCACAACACAACCAACAATAATGACAAAACAATAATGTGTTAAATGAAGTCAGCAAACAGCAAAACAATCCTGTAACCTCATTTATTCATGCTGCAATGCATGCTGGGAACACACAGAGCCTTAACATTTCAGCAATATGAAATTCTTTGTTCAGACAACAGTGTTTGACTAGTTGGGACAACATTTGGGATAATTCTGTTGGCCTGACAAGGCTTTTTATGTAGTTTCAAGAAAACTGCATTTGAGACTCAAAAGGTTTTGTAAACTGGAAAATATGCAGTCACTTTTTTTACAGTATGGCATCGATGAGTTTGAAGTTCGGTGTGTGACAAAATGGAGCAAACTCTATAGCTCTCTATATAAAGCGTACAGACTTTATTCAAGCCCCAGAAAGACAAATGTCTTGCTGAAAGATGCACAATACAATCTTCCAGCTTAGGAAGTCATTATGTACATCAACAATAATTTTGGAAAAATATAATGTAATTTTATGGAAAACTATGTGAGTGGCGCGGCAGGATTTTGAACAGCGTCGCCGCAGACAGTCACGAGTGGCGCCGCCGGTGTGCATACACTCATAGAAAACAATGTGTTCGATTTTAAAGACGCGCCGCTGCTTATCTCGTCCGGTGTGTGACCAACTTAACAGTCTGCTGGGATAGTGTTCTGTCAATATTATAGTTGTAACGAATCAGCTCATGGGAAATATGAATAATTAATCATAACTAGTTATAATTAATTATGAATATTTTAGATCCGCTGTAGATATTTACTTGAACTCTCAGGGTCAACTGTCTTGTCAATTCTAAGAACGTTAATTTCCTGGTTAAGGGAAATAACTTTCTTACTGTACAACTCTACACAGAGCTTGTAGCATAAATCTGCATGATTAGGGACTCCAGTTATGAGCAAACAATGAACAACGTCAAGTGTGACACAAGTAAGGTTTTATTAACTACATAAACACTTAAACTAGTCTAACATACACAAAAGAAGGCGAATTCATAGATACTAAACATGGTGGAGATATATATATGTAAGCTGACAGGAGGGTGTTTCGATTATAAGTCTGCATAACAGTATACAATTTCAAAGACCAAATACATGATGACAATAATATACCCAATGACCTGAAGGATGATGTGTGTTCATTCAAAGAAAGGTTTTCCTATGAATTAATTAGTAGAAAAGTCCATTTCTACTCTGCCTCTTGCCCTGGGACATGCAGGGATTTTCCCTGCTTTGCATTCTTTTGGCCAATAAACCCAGTGATATCAGCGTTGGTTGCCATGCAACCAGGAGCCTGTTCGGCTTCCTGGGGTGTTACGCATTTCGGGGGGAAGGGTTCATGGGTCCTCATATGGCTTGTTAACTGAGGGGGGTTACAGAGTATTTGTTAAATATAAAAACAAAATATATATTGTGTGTTTGAGTGGTCCAGACGCTACATAGTTGTTACCGTCACATTTTATGGTTTTCGGTATTGCAGTTTTTGTCTACTTGTTGACTGTCTAGTTTTGCACAGACGGAATATGAGGACAGCATGCACAGTATAGCACCTATTATTAAGCAAAATCATGTATATCAAAATACTTAAGCAATTGAAAGTTTGAGTACATCAGTGAAATTGAAATATGAGCATGAATCAAATTTGATGAGACTAGCTGCACCATGTTATACTCTAGTTACTCCCCATGTTACACTCTTCCTCTTCCTGGACTTAAGAGAAATGGCACCATACATTTGCTTAGTAATGTTGTATTGTGACAAACTATGACCTCTGTTTGTTGTTGTCTCAGCAGCAAATATGTAATTCTCAAAAACATACAGAATGATTCTCTTAGACTGTGCAGAGACAGTTTGTCTGCTCAAATTTTGGCAACAGATTGTAGCAGTAGCTGTAAATCTGATTTAGGTTGCATCAACATGACTTTGGTTCCCTCTGTTTACATGTTCAGAATTATCCGCTTCATCTCATGATTCATTTGGCACATGTACATGTCATGAGGAGGAAACTGGTTGCTTATTGACTTCTTTACTTGAACAATGAAGAGGCATAACAAAGACCATCAATCCAGTAACTGATCATTTTTAAGTAGAGGAATAAATGCATCCTGAAGACAAGCTACTAAACATGACAAAACAAGCAATGTAAATGCAGAGAGAACTCACCAGACAGACAAATCCAGATCACAAAATTATAGAAGAACTTCATTGTTAATGTGTAAACCTTGTTATATTCCACTGTAGACCACTTTGCATCAGTGCTTCCTAGTTCTTATTCACTACTTGCCTTGAGCCTCAATGTCTCTTACTGTTGTGCAAAGCCTTTGTCACATTGAGGAACTCAAAGTTAAAAATGCTTTTCTCAATATTTACAGCAAAACACCCATAAATATATTTGCACAGCATCTACTTCCTTTAACACACGATGTATGTAGACAAGCCTTTTCTCACATATCTGAGATCCGTGTCTGTGCTTCCTGTGATAATTGCTTGCGAATGAGATGTGACCTGAGCTGTCCGATTCTAGATCAGTGAGAAATAGTGGGATGTGCATTGATGTCACAGAGTCTGTAGACCACAGATGAGAACAAGCTTACAAAGAGTACAAATAACTTGTAATTTTAGCATGCTTGCAAATTAATAACTACACCATCTGCCTGCAAAGAGCATCTTTCTCTTGACAGCCATTCAGAAATACCAGCATGTTAGCTAAATGTTTTACAAGCAACATTTAAATGGTTAATATTTCATGTTATTATAGTAGATGTTTTGGAGGTTCATAAAAGTGAGAAATGGACTTCTGCTTTTCCCTGTCTGTTGCATTTGACAACACAGCTCGGGTCACAAGGATTTGAATTCTTGCGACGCCATCATGTTGTCATTTTTTGCAGCTCTATAGCCATAAGTTACATGACATTTAGGTTCACGTGGTTGACTGGTAATGACGTGAGCTGTGCGTCATTCTTAGAAACTTAAATTTGCATGTGTGTGGTCAAAGGCCTTGCGCATTTTAGATAAACCTAATGACCACATCCTCAGATCTGAGAACAGTTCATGGTGATTGTCAGTTGTTGTTGTGGCTCACAACAACTCTGAAGTTGCTTCTAGATCAGTCTGAAAGCGAGGCTTTTACTGGGTGGCTTTCCTGCCAAGCGCATAAACTACAGATCAGTAATGCTTCTCAAATCATTCACAGCATGGCCTGCCAGTACAACAGTGAAACTCACAGGCCCCTAACATAACGTTTTTGTGATCAGGTCACAATCAAATAGTCCTTTACCACATTAAAAACCCAAAATGCATTGTAGTTAGACACTGAAACTGCATTCAGAGGAGGTCAATCAGTCTTTCTCTTCTTGCGCAGGTCAGGAAACAGTCTAGATAGGCCAAGAGAAATTAATACACTCAAAACAGTAAATGCATTTTTAAATCACCAGCTCTTGCTTTCCTTTTATTTAATTGAATGAGAAGTTTTACTCTAGTTGCATTTTCCAACTTGTTGTCAAACAAGACAAGCCTTTATTGGCATGTAAAGAATGCTCGACATGTTCCTGAAGTTATGTAAATGATATTTGGTAGAAGCACAGTGGTAAAAAGCCACTGTTTTGTTTATGTAAGTTTGGGTTTTATAGAGGACAAAATGCAAATGCATCTTCCTAGGAGTTTGTAGACGTGTTTAGCTTGCTAAACAGCAGTTCATTTGCTATACTGCAGTGGACGGTGGACGGTGGACACTGGTTTCTTTTTAAAGAATCGTCAATTCAAAGCAAAATGAACATCCTTCATTTGACTGGTAAGTAATCTCTCCTGCCTCATGTTACTATACTAATCCTAAACATAGATGTTCATGTAAGAATGTCTGCCTGATGAGGGCTTGTGAGAACATGCAAAATGAGCAAAACTTGTATGAGCTGATAGCCTTGTTACGCTTTGAGCGAATCGAATTGGAGTCCCCGGTTGTGCTCCGAATAAAAACAAAATTTTTTTATTATTATTTTATTTTATTTTTTTACATGAGAATAATTGTTAGTTATTGTAGAAATTAATTGGCAGGTGTAACAAAACAACTCATGACATAGTCTTGTGCACTTTAGCAAGAATTAGCTTCTTTTTGTTCTCTATGAACTTTCCAGTAGCAAATTTTACTGCACTGTAAAAAATATTATGTAATTTTATCTGTGAAATATTGTAAAAACGCTATGGAAAAAACTGTTAATAGGTTATCAGTAAGTTCCTGTACTATATACAGGGGGAAACTGTATAAGATCTAACCAGACATTTCATGTAATTTTACAGTAAAATACTGTTCATTTTACAGATTTTACAGAGTGTAGTAATTATCTAGTGATCAAAGACATACTGTGATGTAGAAGTGATTATACAGTAACTGATGGATTTATCTCTAGTGCTGCTGCTGATGATTATCATAAGTAATGTAGCCATCGACAAATCACAAGGACACCAGTACTGTTCTCCTCTGGCGAACACAAGCTACTGCGCAAATTCTTCCAGTTACGTGGACTGTCATGGACAAAATGTCTCTTGCAAGGCCTATTCCTGCATCCCTCAGAGTGCCGGCTGCTCCTGCATGATCGGATCCTACGACTGCAGCAGCAACTGCAGCTATGAAGCTTCTCCAGATCTCTGTAGTTGCAGTGCATATACTTGCCTCTGCCTGAACGGTGTGTACAGTACTGTCCTCAAATGCTGCCCTTGTGTGTCATATGCCGTTTTTATTCAAGATTTATCCCAATTCTTTCCTTCCAGATATGATGAATACTTCAAACAGCGTAAGTGGGAATGTGGGAATGAGTTTCTACAAGATGATTGTTACTCTATAAATGTTATAAAATCATTATTAAAAAAGTATTGATTTCTCTTTTATCCTTTTTTAAAAAAAATTAAATTAAATTAAATTTTATTTTTATTTATCTGGAGCAGCTCACTGCAGAAAACATAGTGAATTTTGTTGACCAGATCGCAAATATGGCAGGTCTGATGTCTACGGAAGTAAGTAATGTTTCCTGCCCTTGACCAATATAAGGGGTCATTCTCAACCCCCCCCCCCCTTTTTAAATTGTTTATTTTTCTATCATAATAGTTGTTTTTTTAATGTTTTCTTTTATATTTAATTTCACTAATTAAGATTTTTTTTTAAATGCATCGTCTCAAAATACTTGAGTTATAACTTCAAATCATTATTTAAATGAAAATATTTTACACAAACATTAAGTAGTTTAACACTGTAACAAAGTTACGGTTTGTGGTTTGTCATTGTATTTTGAGAGTGACCCATAGATTCGATATTACCCTTTTGTCATAGAAATCATTTGCATTCTACAGAAGTCTCTCTTTTGGTATTTGATTAGGTGGCAGAAAACTATTTGAAGATTGTTGATGCCACCCAGGTAAAGGTTTCAGAGTTGGTCGGCGCTGAAGATAAAAGTAACTTGGTGTCATATGGAAACACTTATCTGAAGGCCTTTGAGAGCCTGGTGTCTGCACTAGTGACACCAACAGAAACTCACAACTGGCTGAATATTAGTCTCAAGAATACAGGTAAAAGGCCTTGTTTGTATTTGTGTTTTTGACATGTTCTGGGTTCAGTCACACTGTGAGTCATAGTCAAATAAGTTCTTCTAAATAATTTTTTAAAATGTTTTTCTCTAGTAAGCATTGTCCAAAAGGGGATTTTGCTGGGATGCTGTAGAACACTATTTTTGGCTCCCTAAAAAAAACTTTCATTGAACAATTTGTTCTAGGGTTAGGAACATTTTCCCCACTTTAAAGAACCTTTTGTGGAATTGAAAGGTTCAAAGGATTTTGAAGGTTTTTCATGGAAGCTTTGATGCCAATAAAGAACTCTTTATTTTTAAAAATGTTCTTTGTGAAATAGGGCTGGGCGATACATCAAATATCAGCAGCATCTTTACTGACGATATAAAATTAGGGAATATTGTGTATATTGTGATGCTGTTAAAAATTTAGCTTATAAAGACAGTAGCCAGTTTCACTCATGTCTCACAACTGTGACAGCTGATAGGCACTGCTTTCAAAAGGCCCTGTGTGCATATGTGTGAAGGCTTCGTGAAGAGCGTCCGACACGTGCACACGCACAGAAAGCCGCTTCAGGGTTCTCTTTAGCATTTCAACAGACAAAAACACACAAAATTATGTCAAAATGCCCATTTTCATCGAGTGACCTCGTAAACACAGTCTTAACCGAGCGTAAAGACCCTAAAAACATGTATTCAGTTTATAGTTTATGCATATACTGTACATTATGTGAAGATTGTTTTAAGTTCACTTAAATTAAAAGTTGTTATATTTTTCAAAGCCTATTAAATATTAAAATAATGGGTGTCAATTATACTGCAATGTTGAATGCCTATAATTAATGGCTTCAATCACACTGGCCTTCATTAATAGGACTACTTAGTAAATTAAAGATTAAAGAAAAGCACTGTTTGAAGGTTGACCTGATTCAAACTACATCAGAGAACTTCAAAACCATCAAACCCAACAATATAAATAGTGATTACAATGACTGGGCTTTCATAAAAAAAGATAAATATTGTTAATAATTTACTATAGCATATTCTTGTTTTGTGCTTAATCAGAGGTTGAAGTCTTCATGGTTGGACCACAGGTCACCTTAGAGAAAATCCCTCGACTCGGCACGACAAATTCTTCTGTGGACATCGATCTCATAGGGATCGCCAAGAACAACAATGAAACAAGCATGTGAAATGTTATAGTGTGATTAAAAAAAAAATCTAAAATAAAAATTGACAATATATCTGCTAAACCACATTTACTTATTTTCTTTATTGTTGTTGTTTTAACATAGTATTGCTTTTCTGTTTCTGTCTCACAGGATCAGCTGCTGTGGCTTTCATGAGCTACAACACGATGGAGAATCTACTGAAGGTTTTTAAGGTCATTTGTTTAGAAGGAAGTAAAGCGCTCAGAACGGTTTTCTGCTATCTGATGAAACTAATTTTTTGACACAGGCTATATTACAGGCACGCTAAAGGCAAATCTGATTTCAACAGTCAACATATGAAATAGCATTATTTGATTAATTCAGTTATTTGTTTTCCTCTAAACAGTTGCTGGCTTAAACATGATAAAGGTTTTATCTGGAGTTTTCTGGGTCCTGTTTGTGTCATACTAGCAGTAAGTTATAAATATTAACATTTTTCACATGGGCTGTTGAAGCCAAAAAAATTATTGGATAATTTCTTCTTTTTCTGCAGTTAAACACAATTCTCTTCATCAAGATAGTCATCACTCTGAACTCAACTCTCAAAAAACTGAATGCTGAAGTTTCACAGATGAAACAAACCAAGTAACAAACATTATGATCAAAACACTCTATAAATAAAGAACATATAGTCAATGAAGACACTTTAACTTTCTTTCTTTCTCTCTTTGCAGGATCATGGTGTTTAAAACACTGGCTCAGTGTGTGGTTCTTGGTTGCTCCTGGATTCTGGGTTTCTTCACTAATGTCAGTAAGGTGCTGGAGATCCTCTTCCTGATCGTGAACTCCCAGCAGGGAACCTTCATCTTCCTGATCTACTGTGTCTTCAATAATGAGGTCAGACTTTTTTCCATCCATACTCTATGAATAAACCAATAAACCTCCAGACACAGTGGCAGTACAGTAGTTTCTTACCTGTTTATTATAAACAAACTCCATTCTGCTTCATGAGTTTCAGAGGTTAAATGAAGTCACTCAGCTCCTCTCGTCTCATTCTTGTCCAGGTCAGGCAGCAGTACAGGAAGTTCTTCAGATGTCTTTGCTGTGGACGCAAACAACACTGAGGAGTACAGCATCAGGTTCAGTAATAGATACTGCTCAAGTTCCATTATAATGCATGTGATGTCATTCTTACAGTAAAATTTACTGTTTAGTAATTTGGGTTTTGACCAGGTCAGGACTGCTTCTTTAAGTCCTTAACCATTTTTAAGGATGTATGAATCTTAATGAATTACTCCAGATCACTTGTAGATCAACACCAGTTTCAGATGTCATATTTTTGGGTCATTCTTAAAGTAAAATACAGAATCAATGTTTTAGATGTTAACTAATTTCAGCTCCTTTCTGTAAATGGTAATGTTACAAAACTTTTGATATTACAGTTGTAAATACTATTGATGTAGAACATTTACATCGTTTTTAAACACAAGATTTTCTTGGTGGTGGGAGAAAAGCATATTTTTACAGAATCCACAAAATGTTCCGATAAATGTTGGCAAACTAAAATACCCTCCTGAAAACTATTTCATGTGTGCATAGTGAAGGGAAATAACATGACTTTACACTTTACAGTTTAAGTAAAAATGTTAAATATATTTTAAATATGAGGCTTGTGTCAAATAGTTAATACATTTATTAATCTTGCACACTTATATTTTTGTTTGTGGTTAGAATATTTTTTTTATTAGCCTACTTTTTATATATTCATATGGCAAGATATATTTTCAGAATGGAGTGTCACAGCTTTTATAGGTGTAGTGGATTTATCTTTATAAATAAACTATTAAAGTAAAGGAACAGCTGATGTGTCAGATTTAAAGTGAATCTGTATTGTCATATGGCTTGTACTTTTGTAATAAAAGATGTGAATGATGATTGATATTTGCTTTCACTCAGGTTTTCATTATTTAAATGATTTTTTTTGTTACAAAGTTTTGTCTTAATAAACAGTGTCATATAATAATTGTATTTGGGAACATGTTTTTTTTTCCACATTCCCCAAAAGACTAAAAAAGCTCCATATAATTAGACTGATTCTAATTTGAGAGGAATATCCTAGTTTGAAATATGAAATACTATCTTCTGCAATATAACTTTTTAAAGTGTAACTGTCACATGTAGTTTTGGTTTCACTTTGTTTAATGGATTTCTAGTTCGTCTTTGTTTTTTGTGCTTCATTGGTTGTCATGATTATTCATTGATTTCACACACCTGTTTATTAGGTCTCTGTATATTAAATTCATTGCCTGGTGTTGTTTGTGCCTTGCACAGTTTCATTGACACTTGTATGTGGATATCTCTTATTTATTTTGGTTTAATAAAGTTAGACTCCTGTATTTTTGGTATGCCTGGTCTCTCTGTCCATTGGACTCCAACTGGGTCTCCACATCTCCCGGCATCACTGCCATCAGTTGGGCTCAGAACTTTGCCATGGCTCCTTCCTCCATGGGTTTTGCTGTGGGTCACCATCCTCCTGGCTGTCTTTTGTGTTACTCTGGGTTGTCTTCTGCTGCCAGCTCCTCCGTGGCTCCTTCCAGCCAAGGTGAGTATTTTTCTTTTCTTTAAAGATTGGTTCTCATTGACCCAAAAACCGCTATGACGTGACATGGTCCCTTGCGTTGTTTCCTGATATAGCGGATAGCTCTAGTAATACAAGTAATACATCGATCAAAACTGTAAAGAGTATTTGTGAACATCCATTAATAACAAAATGTTGCAAAGCTCTTTTGTAAAATAATTAAAACAAATAGGATCCCTACCAATATCCAACAACTACCAAATTGTCCCTAGCAATAATTGTGATCAAACAATTAAATATATGTATATGTGTTTGTAATTTTGGATGCATCTGAAGTATGTCATACCATTGATATTACCCAAGAAGTTAAAGTAGCCTAAATTCGTTACAAAATCCGGTTACTTGCGTAACCTCGGTGCCCTACGTAAGGGAATGAGCTTTGCATTAGCGTTTTGATGCTAGGGGAAACTCCTGTTTACTCTGTTACTGATGCCTGATTTGTTTGTGTATGTTTGTGTAGCTGTGTATGTTTGTGTATGTTTGTTTAGCTGCACAAACCAATGGGGCTCTAGCCCGCCAGAAGGGGAGGAGCCGACTGCTATATGAGTCTGCTCAGAGCGTCATTTCATCAGAAACTTTCGACTGAAGCGACAGTCATCAATTCGCATGCAGCCTTTGATGGCATGGCAACTTACGCAACGCTCGTTCCCTTATCTCAGGGAACCGAGGTTACGCAAGTAACAGGAGCTTTTCTTATTCCTCTCTTATTCTTTCTACACCTATCAGTCTTATCAACTTTCTCTTTCTGGATTTATCCAAGGAAATGTAGCTCTGTGATGTGAATCAGCAGATGCGTTTAAATCTCAGGCTTTTCACACCTATATTCCTCCATAGCTCTATTATATGCACACAGACATTTTAAAGAAAAAAAATTGCCCTATTTGCATAGTTATGGAGCGATAAGAAGCTCATGATAAAGCTTGTAACTGGAGTGTTCCCTATCGAATGGTCTCTCCCATTGCATCAGCTTTTTGACACTAGGGGAACGCATCCAATAGCGCCGTGCTATAAGCAGGTGCAGAATGAAGCCGCTCAGCCCGTTAGCACTCGACTGAGGGCTCCGGTAAGCATAAGCATGTAGTGAGACCCGAGCCACAAGGCTGAAGACTACATAACATGGCCTTTTCCACTTGCAAAGGGGATTAGGCAGAATTAAGCAGACAAAATCCGTGCCTGCATGGCTGGGAACGTCCAATTTATAAAATCTAGCAAAGGTAGACTGCAACGGCCAGCCGGCGGCCACACAAATCTCACCAATGGAAATCCCACTAGACCACGACCAAGAGGAGGCCATCCCTCAAGTGGAGTGGGCCCTTATCCCTAGAGGGCACTGCAAGCCTGTTGATGTGTAAGGCAAGGCTATAGCATCTACTATCCAGTGAGTCAGGCAGCCCTTAAGAGCGGCCTCCAAGTGCTTCTCTGAGTGTCTGAAGAGGCCAGAGCACTCTACATACACCCTCAGAGCCCGAACTGGGCAGAGTGGATTGGGACCCTACTCTCCATCTGCAGCAGGGAGTGCTAGAAGGGTGTAACAAAGTTCGTAGCAATGGGAAGGAGGAGGCAGGAACTGGCGAATATTTAAACACAAAACTTTAATAATCGAATAAACAAACACAAAGCGAAAGTAAAGCGGCAGCCCCTCATGGATGACTGCCACATAAAATCTATAAAACAACAACATAAATAGTCAAGGCCTGGTCCTCTCTCGTCCTTCACTGTCATCACTCCTCCTTTTAACCTTCAATCACCGAGCTCCCCTTCAGAAATGTAAACACTAGGTTGTTTCTGTCGACTGATTGTCCAGCCACAAGAGAATGATTGGCCGCAATGGCTGCCACATAGACTATGAGTGTGGACGGGGTGCGACCCTTATCCAACAACTCTTGTAGAAAGGTTAGCACGTGGGACACGTCACAAGAGGTTCAGGCTGCGTGCTGTGCACCAATCATTAAAGAGTGACCATTTAAGGGCATAAACGCGTCTTGTAGACGGTGTTCTAGCCTCTAAAATGGTGTTAGTCACACTCACAGGTAGCTACAAAGTGTCCCGTCGAGGGGCCAAACATAAACAAGTAAGCGCTGGACCAATCGTGGACCATGGCATCTCGCTGTCTCGATAAATAAATTGGGCAGTGAAAGTTGTCTTCTGAGGTTAGAGGTCCACCTCTGTCCTCCGGAAGACAGACCAATCGTTTGAACCATATGAGGATGTAGTCTCTATTCTCCTGGAGATACATTGTCTCTAGACAGCATGTCTGCCCAGTGGGCATTATTCATCTAAACGGCAACGACCAAGCTAAGACGAGATTCTCCACAGCCTGGTGAGAATGTGAATCAGTTCGCTCACTGCCAGCTCATAATAACCCATTGGGGGGACTTGAGAGCGAGAGGGACGGGGACGAAGGCGATCCAAGAAGGAAGCAGAGCGAGAATCATGCTCCTGTAGTGAAAGTGTGGGCGCTGCCCAGACAAGCGACACACACACTGAGCCCTTCTGCATCATGCAGGGATTCCTGAGCATGAGCCACACTTGTGGTGCGACATTTGCAACAACGTCGCAGGAAATTTGCTCTTTAATGTGCTGGATGGCCACAGGGGAAGGATTCTGGCTTCTTCCTCTGCCGGGGCTCCTTCTACGGTGGTGAGCAGCTGGCTGAGCTTCTACCTCTATTTCGGCTTCTTGATTGCAGAGTTAGCAAAGAGATGATCTTGTCGCGGAAAGAGAAAAATTCTGATGAAATGGCGCTCTGAGCCTCATATAGCAGTCGGCTCCTCCCCTTCAGGAGTTTCCCCTAGCGTCAAAATGCTGACACAATGGGAGAGACCGTTCGATAGGGAACATAATTTGTCGCACTCCAGACAAGAAGCGTAGCGCCACATTGCACCCAATTCAAGACAGCAGTCCAAAACAAATATAAAAGTTCACTTAAAGGGGTCATATGATGTTGCTAAAAAGAACATTATTGTGTATTTGGTGTAATGAAATGTGTTTATGCGGTTTAAGGTTAAAAAAACACATTATTTTCCACATACTGTACATTATTGTTTCTCCTCTATGCCCCGCCTTTCTGAAACGTGTCGTTTTTTACAAAGCTCATCGGTCTGAAAAGCAAGGTGTGCTGTGATTGGCCAGCTATCCAGTGCGTTATGATTGGCCGAATACCTCAAGCGTGTGACGGAAATGTTACGCCCCTTAACATATTGTGATGATGCCCTGTCAGGCTGGAGCGATGATTCAAAAACATGAAAACCCATAATAAACGAGGCATTCGTTGCATCCAGTGGGGACATAATTATGGATTATAATGACTTATACTGTCTTTTTACGCGTTACGTTGCATCGCGCCGTGTAAACATAAAACCATGTCTGCATTTGTGATCGGAGAAATGACAAACTACAAGTCCTACTCTACACTGCCCAAAAAACTTGATTTAAATATAAAAAATATTAAATATAAAAACTCTTTAAATATAAAAAACGTACTTACAGTCTGTGTGTCAGAACAGCCGGCATTGTAGTCTACTCTACCAGGTCCTGCAATAGTTGGGCTGAAAAGTTCTGGAAC